AGAGATCAGTTGGTTAAGACAACTTCAATTTTATCCCGTTAGATTGGTTGTTCAATCTTATCTTTGAGAAATTAGTTGATTAAGTGTGCGATATAACATAAATTATGACACGGAGAGAAGCAAAGTTCATTCATATTAAACCGAAAAGTTCAAATTACAGAGGCCATAGGCCTTACAAAATTTAAGATGAAGCAGGGGATGGGGGAGCCGGAGCATCGGAGCCAGAAGCTTCAGTTAATGGCAATTGAGGCGCTTCTGCAGGCTAAGGCCTTTCAGTTGATGTATTATCAGACTCGAGTTCAACCACCTCGCCTTCCTCAGCTGGGGTCTGAAGAACCTCCTCCTCAATGAACTCTGCTTTAAGCTCAGAGATATCCAGCCCCGGATGCACCTCCTCCATTCTCTCAAAAACTTCTTGGTATGTCACCCTGGTCCAGTATATTCCGAAGCGACGATATTCGTCGGTGAGATGGAAATTAGCAATGTAGTTCTTCACCGCGATATCCCCAGCTTCAAGAACGTCCACCTCATATTTTTTCACTTCTGAGGCATACCACTTTAGTTCGTTCTCCATGAACTTATTGGCGTCCTTGCACCCAGTAAGCTCCAAGTTCACCTTCTCCAAGGCCTCTGCAGCAACTCTTTGGTGGTTATTACATAGTTCCACCTTCTTTGTTAGAGCGGCACCTCACACTGAGACTCGTGCACCTCCTTCTTCAAAGCTTCAATTTCAGCTAAGAGGGAATCTCGCTTGGCATCCTCTACATCTTTCTGGATTCTTAGCTCATTGTTCGCCTCCTTTTTTTGTTCAAGTTTAGCTTTAACTGCTGCCAGTTCATCTCGCGAGGCCCTATTCTTTGACTGAATGCCAGGAAAGACTGTTTGACATTCAAGTGCCACCATTTGTACCAGCATGACTTGGCGCGTGAACGTTTTCCCCGACACCACGCGTCCTAATAATTAGCCATCATGATGCATTGAATATAAACAGTTGTACGGTTATTGAAAATCATTTCGAGACAACCAACTTACCTTGGAAACATGCAAAATCGTCACATCACATGCACTGATATCCATATGGACTCGCCTCAACTTCAAAAAGAAATCAGCCTCGGCCAGTTCGAAAATGGACTCGCCTCAGCTTCAAAAAGAAATCAGCATCGGCTAGTTCGGACTCGCTTTAGTTTCAAAAAGAAATCAGCCTCGACCAGTTCGAATATGAACTCGCCTTAGTTTCAAAAAGAAATCAGCCTCGGCCAATTCGAATATGAGCTCGCCTATCTTCCAAGTAAATCAGNTATGAGGTCGCCTCAACTTTAAAAAGGAAATCAGGCTAGGACAATTCGAATTTGAGCTCCCCTCAGCTTCAATAGGTCTTCAGCTGTGAAGGCAACTTAGTTAACCTTATGCATTAAATAACTTCTTGAAAGTCCACGCATGGCATAAAATAACCACACATGGACTTGGGGGACTATTGTTATGGTTCGTATATGGAAGCGACACGTGGCACCATATTGCAGTGGTGGGACCAGCTTAGTTGAGCCAGGGTGTATTTTCCTAGCCTTTGACGTGGAGGCCGATGCCCCAGCTTATTCCGAGGCCCCAACTTATTCCGAGGCCTTAACCGATCCGAGGCTTTCATTTATTACGAGGTTATGATATTAATGAAGACCCACGTGGAAAAGATATAGCAACGATGAAAATCTTCACGTGAGTGATTGATGTGACTTTTGTGAATAGCAACTTTATGTCTTGTCTTGTCAATGTAAGAGTATTTAATATTTTGTAAGGCTAGAAAAGTCAATTTGATTGCTAGGATTTGATGCNGTGAGTGATTGATGTGACTTTTGTGAAAAGCAACTTTATGTCTTGTCTGTCAATGTAAAAGTATTTAATGTTTTATAAGGTTAGGAAAGCCAACTTGATTGCTAGAATTTGATGTCCTGGCCAGGAAGATGAGGCCACGTGTAAATTGATCTGAATATCATTATTTCATTTGTAACACTATAAATACCCCCACCATGTAACACAAAAGGGGTAATGAAAAATTCCAAATACTTAAAGTAATACCATTCTCTCATTGGAATAGCGAATTTCGACTATATATCTTGTTTTTATCGATTGGTTTCTTATACAATTGTGTTACATTTATCTTGCCGGAAGCCCGAATGGAAATGTCTCGTGTTTTTGAGCTACTTCCACGTTCAGTTTCTGGAGTCATCTTAACCGTTGATCGGCATTAACGTGTTGGATCAAACTTACGTGTATACGAAGGGGCCCGGCATCTGTTGGCAACATTTTTTGGGGTCAACATATTATATTATACTTTTAATCTTATGTCAATTTACTTTAAAAGAAACATAAAAAATTAAATACAAATATATCGTCTAAATTCATCCACTTATATTTATTTTCATTAAATTCTTTTGAAACTTTTTTCTATTCTATTAGAATTTGTTTTTAACTAAAACTCTAATAATCATAAAATTTTATCTTCAACTAAAATCCTAATAAAAATAAAATATCATCTTCATCAGAAATCAAAACTACAATGGAAGGATTACCATTAGAGGAAATACATGAAGATATAACAATATATGAAGAATTTGAAAAAGTAAAGATCACGTTTTATTGTGAATTTGATGAATTAATATTACTATTAGAGGAAATATATGAAGACAAATTTCACAAATTTTTGTTTTTGAAAGATCAAAATCGTGTTAAAAGATGGGAGTCTTGCCCCCACCATTAATTGCCTTTTAGCTCTATATAGAAGTATTATTTTCTCAGTTACTTTATATTAAAAGCACGTTTCTTTTGGATTAATATCTAATTTTAATTTAAGTTAAAGTCAAACAATCAACATTAGCCATATCTTTCATGAATCCCACAACTTTTCAACCACGCATTTCAGAAACTTCTATCACAATCTACTAAAAATCTAATTTCAATCAACACCACACCCTCTAAAATTAGAATGAATATAGTGATTTTTTTAAAATTTTGAAATTAAATTAGGGATGTATTTAAAGTGTGATGAATGCATAAAATTTATGTGATCAATAGTGTTTAAATGAATTAATTTAATAAGAACAATAATAAAATTTGACGTGGAGGGAAATAGTAATTTTTGAAAAATTTAATATATTAATAGGAATGGATATAAACTAAGATTAATATATAACAATTCTGGACGTAAATAGTGGTACCATATATTCGGGGTAAGACGAAAGCAAATAAATACCGATGTGCATCTAGAAATAATTCATGATATAAAAAGAAGGAAAATGTTATGTGTACACGGTAGTTGACACTCCCGTATACACGCCCCTCACAAGAGGGAGGACCCATGATGATTAAAATAATCAATTTTGCTACATGTACACTTAGTTTGACAACATGGATGACATTCTCTGATAAAAAGACATAAATATCCTTCTTCTTATTCTTTAGTCAAATCAAGGTTCTCTATTCCTGATGTAGGATAACTTTAATATATTTC